AAAGAAAGAAAGAAAGAAAGAAAGAAAGAAAGAAAGAAAGAAAGAAAGAAAGAAAGAAAGAAAGAAAGAAAGAAAGAAAGAAAGGCTGAGTCTGCAATAGCAGTCTGCATTTTTTTGTAAATTCTGCTATACAGAATTTATATCAAAACTGCTGTTTTACATTTTAACAACTTTGTGTAAGCATTATAAAGACAACTAAGTATGGGTTGGAGATGGGAAGAACAACCAAAAAAAAGCCCATTTGCAGTGGTTAGAGCTGGGGCAAAGGCTTCATTAAATGATTTTTCACTGTTTCTAGGATTTTCCTGCATCTCATTCTTCTAGCATGGTGATAACTGCTGTGTGTGTCCTTTAAAGAATGAAGCCTCTGTACTTTTACTGGAATGTTTACCTCACATTTCCATGTTGGTTCTTCTTGGCTTTTTTTTTTGTATATTTTTTCCAAAACAGAATCAAAAAAAATTATCAAGAAACCGAACACGAGCCAGTCTTTTATTTGCCTATGACACAAAGAAAATCTGGAATGTCTGTGTCTGGTCTTGTTGTGTTTCTTCTTGCTCTACTGATGTCTACTTCTGGCTTAGAAATATAAGGTTCAGACTTGGGCCATGCTTTTTTGTGGCCATGACGAGCCTTTGCTAAGTGTTCTGGGTCCCTCACTACAGCTGTAATCAAAATTCCAAAGGGAAAAATCTATTCTGAATAATTTTGTTAAGAAATAACCTCCCAAGCTGGCTTTTTCACACTTTCTTCTGAGCTTCTCTACTGCTTTGGCCTAAAAAAAAAGAAAGATGTATGGGCAGAACTTTTATTTATTTATTTATTTATAATTCAATTCAACTGAAGCGACAAATTTGAAAACCCAGGGATAAAGTGATTAAGCACCGAGAAGTCTTGCCCTTCCACGTCACAAGTGTTGTGTGCAAGACTTTGATGTCATTTCTTACTTCTGCTTTTTCAGCTTGTTACAAGCAGTTAAATGTTTTGCATCTCAAACAGCCATGTGTGATCCTCTTCCCTTGTACTCCAGTCCTGGCAGCTTCCTCTGCTGTTGGAAGCATGCAGTCTGCACCTTCAAGGGATTAGAATGTCTGAGATCAGGGAAATGGCAGCTTGACTCAACTCAGACACAGCAAAACACAAGACAAGCTGCTGTTGAGTTCCTTTCCTGCCTGTCCCAATTCCCAGTCCAGTTTTTCACTCTGTTCTGATCACGTTACATGAGCTATCAAAGTTACATCCTGGGAGAGAGACAGAAAGGGGAATGAGCACAAAGTACAACTACAACTCTAAGTGTTTTCTTAGCTAGTGAGTGTTAAAGAGGAAACGGAGGTGCAGGTATCTCTGGTTTTGATGGAAGGACGTAATTTCATGAAAAAGTAACTTCCAATTCATTGCTCCCCAAACAGCCTTTGAAGCCAACAAGGTGACAGTTAGCCATTTGTCACATTGTGGTTTCCCATAAACTACAGGGGGCGGATTTGTGAACATTCAGCCTTCCACGGTGATCAGTGAAACATTCCCATTTTACTCATCCCAGTTCACCCCACAGTGGAACATCCAGGTGTACATTTACACTATTATTATTCTGTAATTCTCCAAGACACTAAAGGAGAAAAGAAAGTATTTCTTAAATTTCTTCAGAGCTTTTGAGAAGAAAGCAGCACTTGAGAAGTCTGCTCAGTTAAGAAACTGAGCACACTGTAACACACAAAAGCAGCAGTGCCTGAGTATGCCTCACACATCTGCACACTGAAAGAAACCGGAAGGGCGTGGAGTGGTATAACCAGTGCATTTCTGGATTATTCCCAGAAAAAAATCACACAGACTCTCACTGGAAACAACTTGTTTCATAGAAAACACTCATAAAGTATCATGCATTTCTCAGATTGTTAATTTTCTTCTCCTCCTGACTTCACTGCTTACCTCCTCTGATTAAAAGCAGATCTGTATCATCAGTTAGACAGGAAGAAAAACTAACACCCTTAAATTAAGAACTTAAAAAATGGGACCCTTAACAGGAGAATTCAACAAGATGCCTTGATAGCAGCTGATTTTATAGGTCCGTTGGAAACTTCACCATTACTGAGTGAAGATACTTCAGTGAACCTTTATTAGTGAAATTCACAGATTTCACACCAACGAGAAGACTCTGCTGCTGCCCTGCAGCATGCATGGGGATGCATGCACCATGGGGATGCTCCGTGGGGGGACTCACTTCTGCCAGATGATTTTCAGGTTCGGGGGCAGTTCTGCAGCTGCAAGTTCATCGATCTTGGTCTCGTCTTTCACGGGGATCCGATAGAAAGCCAGCACGTCCCCGGCGCGGCGCATCCGGTGCAGCTGGGAGTTGGGGACAGCGTGTCCCAGCTCTGCCGCCAGCCGGACCAGCAGGCGATGTTTCAGCCTGTTCTCCTGCAGGGGAGTCTGCTGCCAGTCCTCAGGAAGAGAGGGCCCGAAGACCTCCCTGACGTGGGACTCGAGGCAGCTCTGCAGGTCCTCAGGAGGGAGGTAACTCCGGCTGCGTGGCGGGGGGCAGATCAGGCTGGGCTCACTCCTCTCCTCCTTCTCCAGAACTGCTCGGTCTGCTTCCACTTCTCTGTCCTCCTGCCTGCTGGCACCACAACAGAAACACTGTCAGCCTCTGGGCTACCCAAGACAGACTCAGAGCATTTTTGTATTCGTGGTGTTTTAAACCACTCAATCCAGACACTTCACACATCCTATGGACTCATCAGGGCTGCTATCCACAAGTGCACAGGCTTTCCCCAAGTGCTGCTCGCCACACAGGCTTCCTCTGCAGAGCAATCACCCACCCACCTTATTTCATTGACCTGAATAAAAATAGCATTTTAACAAGACAAATCCTTAGGAACTTGTTCAGGGGGTGTCGGGCTAACTGACCTCCAGAGGGCTGGTGAAGGCCCAGCCCCAGCATGCCGAGAAGGCCAGAAGCCACTCCCGACCCACCCCGTGCCCTGCGGGTACCTGCGGCCGCCCCAGAACGCCCTGAGCCCCGCGGGGCCGAGCCCCGGCCCCCGCCGCGCCGCCACCCGCAGCGCCAGCACCGCCGCCATGCCGGGGGCGCGCCGGGCGCCTACGCTCGGTCGCTGCGCATGACGTATTTCCTGCCACGCCCCGCAAAGCCTCATGGGAAATGTAGTCCTCGCCCTCAAGTCGCCCCCCTCGCTGGGAAATAGAATGCGTGAAAATTACCTTAGGAAAAGGCGTTTTTTAATGTTTGGTCTTTGTGTGCTTTCAGGCCTTCTGGACAGGAAGGGAGATTTTGTCCGTGTAACAGAAAGTAGCCAACAAGCTCTAAGTGATATCCAGGTGTTGGAAAGGCAAATTACTTGTTGGCTGAATTGCCTTATTAAGGTTGAGGTCTTGATAGGCTTCAGTGGCCTCAGACCTCGGCGAGGTTAGCAAGGCTTGGGAAGAGGAATGCACCTCCGATGATGGACACAAAGAATGCAGAATTGATGGGCACCAGAACATTTGGCAGAACTCCCAAGACAAGGCACAAACTAATGTGATAAATGTGATTCGTGCTAATAAAGCCAACACAGCTGCTGAATCAGCTCTGGCTGGGTAAAAGGTCATTCCAGCAGGGGCAGATCAAGGCCATCAACTCACAGGCAAAAATTCAAGATTCCACTGACTGAAGAGACGGACTGAGCATGCAGACTAATTAGCATGAAAAGCGAGAGGATTATTAACCAATAGCAGACAGAGTACTAACTATTATGAAAACCTAGGTAACTTGTAGTCAATGAATATTAATTCTTTCATTTACTAAAATAACTAAATAAGGGGAGAAGACTTGGTAATCTTGGTGCTGATTGTGGTTTATAAATAAGAGGGAGAGGGACTTTCAACACAGATAGTGACAGGACAAGGGGTGACAGTTTTGAACTAAAAAAGGGAAGAGTAAATATTTGGAATGAATTCTTTACTGTGAGGGCAGTGAAACCTTAACACAGGTTGCCCAGACAAGCTGGGAATGCCCCATTCCTGGAGATGTTCAAGGCCAGGTTTGGACAGGGCTCAGAGCAACCGGGTCTAGTGGAAGCTGTCCCTGCCCATGGCAGGGAGGTTGGAACTGGATGGTTTAAGGTCATTTCTTATGCAAATGAGTCTGAGGTTGATCTTTGATCAGCGTATCAGTAGGATGCTGCTCATCAGGAGCAGAGGTTTCACTGAACTCAGGTGTGTGGAGGCCCAGAGGACTACAGGTGAAGCGGGAAAGAAGTATTATTCCTGATAATCAGCCTCTGGAGTGTTTTTTGGCAAATCGCTTCTCTTCATTCATTGTCAGGAGAGACTACATACAAGCCTTAATTATGCAGTGACTGGATCCACATGAAGGATTTTGGCTGTTTATTTATTACCACTGTGACACACTGGTTACTAACACAGAGGCCATGAGGAGGTGATTTTGCCTGTTTTCCCTGTATTTGTTGGCAGGAGCAGCAAGTGCCAGTGGCCAGGAGAAGCAGCCAGCAGATAGAGCTGACCCGGAAAAAATGCCTGGCCCAGGGTGTTTTGGGGACTGCTCCAAGGCCTCCTGAGTTGATTGGTGTAACATGTAACCAGGCAAATATTCTTACATAATCTTAGGCTTGATGCTTTTGCCATTTGTGCCTTTTTTTCATGACAATCATCTGACTTCAGCTAACAAAGCTTATGCCTTTAACAAGGTCACAGTAACTTTGCCAAAGGTCAAACCATTGGTCTGCAGCATCAGCCTCATTATTCAAGCCACACAGCAGATAGATCAAGATGCCTTCATGCATGCTTTGTGTTAATTATTGTGGAAAAATACCACTGTAGAGGTGATTTGTAAGGACAGTCTTTGCACAGCCCTGACTCAAGGTGTGCAACCCTAACACTGTGTAGCAGCCTCATCTCACCAATGATGGTTCTCCTGAGACATGAGATGCTTCTGAAGGTGCTAGTGTTTCCGTGGCCTGATTCCCAAGCACTGCTTGCTGTATACAAAGTGTTTCAGTGTCTGCCAGACTTCTGTCAGCAGGATTAACCTCTCCAGGTATGTCACTATTTGGTTATTTCCCTTTGATACCCTCAGAGTTTCCTGAGCTCACCAGCTGTAATATTTTGTGACTCAGTCTTTGCAAGGACTACTGAAAATTAAAGATGCGTGAAAGATATTGTAAAGTTTACACAAAACAAAAAGAATTGTGAGGTAGAGATATTTTTTCAATTACTGTTTTATTGACATGATTGAATACACATTCAGGTTTTATAATTCAGGATTTTGGCCGCAAAATGTAGTAATGGGAAGGGGTAGCTATTTGAATTGCTAGGAAACTACTGAATATGCCTGCTATTCCAGGGGCTGAGTTTCAGACTGAAGGAAGGTGGGTTCATGATTCATTAGCAGCTGTTGTTTGCTGTTTAGAAATAATTCCCTTTCCTTGGAATGTGCAAATGAAAAAAAGAATATCCCCTTGGTAAATTGTGGGAGTGAAGGGTGGAGAGGAAGCTAAGCCATTCTATCTCCAGTTTGGTGTAGGGTAAGGGAAATTAGATTTATATGTTTTTCTTTCATTTCTGAATATCTTCCACTGTGATAGAAGAGACAGGAGGAAGGAGGGTTCCTGCAATTTCAGTAGGTGTAGCTGGCAGTGAACAGTGACTGCGTGGCAGCTCCATCAGTCTTCCCAGACAGGACATACTGTCCCTTGCAAGCCAAACTGTTAATCTGAAAAAGAAAAGAAAAAAAAAAAAAAGAGGAGGAAACAATCAGCATGGAGTAAGAAAGGCAGATGTGTAAAGAGCAACCAGCAGGAGTAACCAAGCGAGGCAGAAATAAGAGTAACACCTCTGGTGAACATGAAGTGCCAGGAGGGTGGATCAAGAGCAGCCTTAGGAAGGTGACACCGTGTGTCCCTTCGTGGAGAGCAGCTCTTCTCTGTGCTGGGGGAAGCCTCATACCTGTGCCCGCTTGCGGAAGGCCTCTTGAGCAGCCTTCTTGTTCTCATTTTTGCCCAACCATGCAGCCAGGGCAGAGGCTTGCAGGGCTCTCCCATAGGAAAAGGTCAGTTTCCAAGGCTTAGGCAGAGGAGACTGATTCATGGCATTCAGGTTGAGAGAAGCCTCCTCCTCACTCTGACCTCCAGACAGGAAGCAGATTCCTGCAAGAAAGAGGTTTTGAGGCTTAGAAATAGAGCGTTCTGGCCACCTCAATCCCTGACCTTCACTTGCCAGAGGAGCAGGAATGTCAGAGGTAAGAGAGAGAGTAGGAATGAAGAGATAGGAATGAATCAGGAATCACCAGGAACAGCAGCAGGAACGGTGCGGAGGAGAGTAGTGACTGTTGCTATGGCTACATCCTGAGGGGTGTACTTCTTGGAGCAGGAATGCCCAGCTGTCACCATGTTGGGTTTCAGCAGTGTTCCCTCCAGGTACACGTGATGATCATTCAAAGCCTTGTAGACAGCAGCCAGAACCTGAAAACAGGAGGATTGAATACAGACGTCTGCTCAGATCTTCATCTCAGCCTGGTGTGGAAAGACAACTTATTCTTTGGTACTGTAGCAAGATCAGATTGAATTTTGCTTTCTCATGAAATTTATCTCCACGGTTGCAGCTGTGGAGATCCAACTGCTTTTGAGATGACAAGGATACAACTCTTCATATTTAAGGGATTTGTCCCTGATGAGATTGAGGTAATTTGGTTTGGTCCTGATACATCTTTTTGAGATTGCGAATGCTTCTATTATCATTGAACTGAAAATCCAAAAGCATGGAAAATACTCTTGGATTTCTTATTAGTTGGTTATGTGCCTAGGAGCAGCTCGTTTTTGTGATGCAGTTATGAAGGATATTTTTGGCCAACTGCCTTTGGGATCTGTGAGCACAAACTGCACAAAGTTTAGCTGCTGATTTTGAGGGGGAGCACAGACGAAGGAATCTCTTCTTACCTTCTCTGTGACATACTGACAGCGCTGGAGATCATGGTCTCCATCAGGCAGGATTTCTGGCTCCACGATGGGCACCAAGCCATTCTAGGGAAAGAGACACAGGGGATTCTTTAGGGCTATGAAAGTAAAACTATTCTTCTTGTTTGCCCTGGCTTTGGTGGTATTCCTTCATGCTGTGCTGCCCTTCCTCCTTGTCTTTCCCAAAACCTTTGCAGGGATTCTCTTTTCGAGCTATCTAGTGTGTTATCACAGGGAACAGGGAGAAGGGGCAGCAGCATCTCAGGAGAGCTTGCAGGAGGAGAAGTACCTGCTGGCAGATGCTGGCATAGCGTGCCAATGTGTTGGCATTCTCCTGGATGGCAAGCTGAGAGGGTGTTGTGCTGGTGATCTTCAGCACTGCACGCCACTTGCCAAAGTCAGCACCATCTTTCTTGTACTGGGCACAGCGTTCAGCCAGCCCATCCAGCCCTGCAGAGAGAGAACAACGCTTCACTGAGAGCTGCTCTTCAGCACAGAGCTCTGGAAAGTATTGTGACTCCAGACAAGGCTGTGTCTCTGAGTCACCCTATGGCTTTTGCTGCAAGGGCTAGAGCTTAGGCTCCTTAGATCTCTCCTACCTTGGATGGTGGTTTCTCCATTTGTTCCTGCCAGAGGTGCTGTGCCTTTATCCAGCTGTGGAAAAAAACAGGAAGGGTTACAGAAAGGTGGGAATTGGTCTAATTCTTACCTTCTTACCTATGTCTGGTCTGCCTTTGAAGGCTGACTATTAGTAATGTGTGGACCTTAACATGCTCGGGGTGCAAAGGAAGGAAATGTTGGAGCAAAGGGGAAGAAAAAGGAGTGAACTGGGTAAGAGGAGGGGAAGAGTGTATATAGACGGCTGCCGGGAATGGCTCAAGAAC